TTCAGTTTTTAGAGGCAATGTCTTTGGGTTTTCCCCATTTCATATAATTTTGGCTATAGTTTTATTCATATATAGCCTTATGTATGTCAAAAGATGTTACTTTTTTTGCCGGGCAGTGGTGGTGCACGCCTTTAATCCCAGCACTCGAGAGGCAGAGCCAGGGGGATCTCTGTGAGTTCGAGGCCAGCCTGGGCTACAGAGTGAGTTCCAGGAAAGGCGCAAATCTACACAGAGAAACCCTGTCTCAAAAAAAAAAAAGATGTTACTTTTTTTTTTTTTTTTGGTTTCTTGATGGCTTTTATCAGGAAGGAATATTAAACTTTGTCGGTTGTCTTTTGATCTATTAAGATGATCATGAAATTTGTTTTAAGTCAAGTTCTGTGTTCTATTATATTACATTTATTAATTTGATTTTGTTGAGCCATATTAGCATTCCTGGGATGAAATCAACATGGTTATTGTATTAATCAGAGTTCTCTAGAGGAAAAGAACTGATAGAATGAATATGTATCAAAGTGGGATTTATTAGAATGCCTTACAGGTTGTGGGGTCTGGCTACTCCAATAATGGTTGTCTCTGGATTGAAAGGCCAAGAATCTGATAGTTGTTCAGTCCAGAAGGCTAGGTGTCCCAGCTGGTCTTCAATCTCATTAGAATCCTGAAAAAGTAGGTTTTAATAACAGCAAAAGAATGCTTCAGCAGCAGGATGGGTGAACTTGCTAGCAAGAATAATGGCAGGCAGACAGAAAGCAAAAACTTTCTTCCACATCCTTTTATGTAGGCTGTCACCAAAGTGTGGCTCAGATATAGGATGGGTCTTCTCACCTAAGTCATCCAATCAGAAAATTCTTCACACCTGTGATTCCAGATGGAGTTAACAACCAAGATTAGCCATCACACTTACGATGTATGATCTTTCTGATGTGTACTTGAATTTGGCTTTGAACTATGTTTTTGTGTCTATGCTCATAAAGGAAATTTGTCTATAGCTTCATTTTTTTTGTCCATATCCAGTTTTGGTATGGAGGTAATACTTTCTTCATAGAATATATTTGGTAGTGTTCCTTCTCTTTTTATTTTATGGGACAGTTTTTGAAGTATTTGTGTTAGCTCTTCCTTAAAAATGGGTAACATTCAGTGAATCCTACTGGGGAGACCTTCATTACAATTTACTGCTTCGGTCTTATTGACTTATCTTCTTGATTTATTTGAGTCCTTTTTTCCTTCAGTTAGTTTAACAAGATATTTGTCAGCTTTGTTTACCTCTTAATAAAACCAACTCATGGTTTGAATGATTCTGTGTATTTTTTGTCTATTTAATTAACTTCTGCCCTAATCTTTCTTATTTCTTGTTATCTACTGCATTTGAGTTTGGATTGTTCTTTTTCTGGGACCTTGAGCTATATCACTGGGCTGTTTATGTGAGATTCTGCTTTTCTTTTCTTTTTTTTTTTTTTTTTTTTTTTGGTTTTTCGAGACAGGGTTTCTCTGTGTAGTTTTGCGCCTTTCCTGGAACTCGCTTTGGAGACCGGGCTGGCCTCGAACTCACAGAGATCCGCCTGCCTCTGCCTCCCGAGTGCTGGGATTAAAGGCGTGAGCCACCACCGCCCGGCTGCTTTTCTTTTTAATAAAGCACTCCTAGCTGTAGACTTTCTGCTTAGAGAACTCCCTTAGCTATACCACAAAGTTCCAGATAAGTTGTACTATAGTTTTCATTTGACTCTATGAATTTATTGTTTTCCTTGTTTCTTCAACATTCCACAATATTGATTCTAAAATACATTGTTCCATCTCCAAGTGTCTCTGTAGTTTCTGTACTTTTTCATAATGTTAATTTCTAGTTTTAGTCCTCTGTGTTCTGCTTAGATACAGGAAACTATTTCTTTTCTTTATATTTGTTTAGTGGCCTTTTGCTTTGTGGCCTATAATGTGACCAATAATAGAGAAGGTTCTGTAGGCAGTAGATACCTGTTTATATATGGTTGATCTATGGTATGCTTTAGCTCTGAAGTTTGTTGTTCTGTAGTTTGGAAAACCTATCTAAAAATGAGAATGTAATAATGCTGACTCCTATTATTATATCGGGATCTACACGACTTTTTAATGCCTTTTAGTATTTGTTTAATGAAGTTGTGAGTGCAACTTCATTATATATTCAATTGTTTTATATTCTTGATGAATTGTTTTCTTTATCAGTATATAATGACTTTCTTTACCTCGTCTAAGAGTTTTGGTTTGAGTCTACTTTATCACATGGGAGAATAGCTCTTCTTTTTGGTTTCTGTTTTGTTTGTTGTTGTTTTTTTTCCTAGACAGGGTTCCTCTTTATAGCCCTGGCTGTCCTAGAAATTACTCTGTAGACCAAACTAGTCTCAAACTCAGAGATCCACCTTTCTCTGCCTCTCTAGTGCTGAGATTAAAGCCATGTGCCACCACTGCCCACCTAACTCTTCTTTTTTGGATATTTTTTTTATGAGACAGGGTTTCTCTGTGTATCCCTGGCTTTCCTGGAACTCACTCTGTAGTTCAGGCAGGCTTTGAACTCAGAGATCCACCTGCCTCTGACTCCTGAGTGCTGGGATTAAAGATGTGCTTGGCTTTGTTTCTATTTGCTTAGTAGGTTAATTTTCATCCTTTGACTGTTAGTTTGTGGGCATTCTTATGAGTGAGCTATGTGTTTTGGAGAAAGCAGATGATTGGATTTTTTTTTGTTTAATCTAGCTACCCAGGCTGCATCTTTTAAATGATGGTTTAAAGCCATATGTCTTTAATACTATTATTGAGAGGGATTTGATATTTCCTGTGGATTCACTGGTCATTGTTCCACTTAGTTTCAATTATAAGTAGTGTTTTCTTCTTACCTTATTAGTATTGGGTGTTTGCTGGTTTGTTGAACACATTATATTTCTTTCTAGGTCTCCTTTGTTCATTTATTCTTCCCATGAAATTAATTTTTCTCATGTTGTCATGGATGAGATTGTCTTTCTTCTTTCTCTGTATATCTTATTCCTATTAAGTATTTTTTTTAGTAATGCTGGTTTGTTTGGTGTGAATTATCTTTGTGCTTTATTTGAAATGTTTTAACTTTTCTATCTATTTTAAAAATAACTTTTCAGAGTATAGCAGTCTTTGTTGGCAGTTATTTACTTTCAGGTCTTGGAACATCTCGTGCCATACTTTTGTGTTTTGAAGGTTGATAATGAGGTTTGATGATATTCTGACGTTTGTCTTAGATAAGTTAGCATTTCCCTTTTACTACTTTTCATATTGATTCTTTGATTTGTATTTTAGAGATTTTGACTATGATATATGTTGTAGAGAGGTCATATCTAGTCATGTCTATTTGAGTTTGTAAATGCCTGTTGTGTTTAGATGGCCATTTCTTTCTTTAGGATTAGGAAAATTTTCTATCATCATTTCATTGAAGAAATTGTGTATGCCCTTAGTCCTTATTTCAGCTTCTTCTACCTGGCAAATTCTTAGATTTGTTCTCTTGAACTTATTCCAGAGTTCTTGGAAATTTTGGTCATTCTAATTAAAATGCATGTCTGTATATATTATTGTTTTGACCTTGTCCTCCATCCATGAAGTTTGTTTTCTGCATGACCAAATCTATTGGAGATAGTTTCTGCTGTTTTGTTTTTATTTGATTGATGGATTGATCTTTATTTCCAACACTTCTAGTTGTTCCTTTTCCAGAGTTTCAGTTTTCTTGCTGAACTTTTCCTCCATGTTTTAAAATGTGTCCCCTAAATTGCTAAGCACTTTATCCACTTTCTCATCTAGGTTCTGAATAGATTTCTGTATTTCATTTATTTGTTTCAGTCCTCTGTGTTGCCATTGAGCCTTTTGAATGTGTAACTGAAATCTCTTTCTGATGTTTGCTTCCTGGTACTGAGGAGTTGGGAGCTTCTGGTAGTGTCACAAGAAAACAAAGAAACACACACACACATAAGCACACAGAGGTGGGGGACAGTTCTAAGAGCCTGTTCAGGCATATATAAGCTAAAACAAAACAACTGTTATAGTATAAAAGTCTAGAATAAAAAAATAAGAATAAAATAAAATAGAAGATATTTATCATTCCTAGTCATCATGTGTGGCTTCTCTCTCCTCTTGGATTGTCTTCTGTGGTGGTCTCTATAGGTGGGGGAGGTGGGGAAGGATGCTAATCTCAGTAAAGTTAGATTTTTATATGTATATTAGACTTCCATAATTCCTCAGATTGAGACCCCTCATCTACTAGTTACAACTTTGTTTATGGTGTTTTATAGATTGTTCTTTCTACTAATTGAACTTTCTGTGACTAAGGCTTTGAGGAAGTATGGAAGGCCCACCTACTTGTCACTGGTTAGCTTCTTCTGACAGCATCTCACTTTTCCTATTCCCCATGTAGCTTGCCCAAGCAGTGGGAAGGGTGGTGTCCTCTCAAGCTATTAACTCCAGGATGTGTGGGGAAACATAGCTCAGCTTCAGACGCCCATTTCTCACTTCTACATCTGTCTCCCCAATCTGTGTTCCAATGGCCATATCTATAGTTATGTTCTAGTATATCCAAACTCTGGTTGTGTCTCTTTAGCCAAGTCCATCTCTCTGTAACTTTTTCTTCTTGTAGAATCCATGACCAGGAGGAGAGAGTACCTACCTGGCAGTTAACTCTAACTCTGGTCTGGCAGTATATGATGTAGCTGGGCAATGGTTGGTGTATAAAAGCAATTTAAAAGAGAAGTGATGTTGAAGACGAAGGGGGTTTTAAAAACAAGGATTTTAAAAAGAATAAATATAAACAAAGACAACCAGAGGAGATAGGATAAGTAAAGAAAACCTATTTGGATGTTTTAATGAGTAACATAATTTATACCTTATCCACATTTTTGTCTTTGTTAGGCATGTGCTAACCATCTCTCTAACATTGACAATGGTTTTAATTTTATGTATGCTTTTGAACAAAAGAATAATCTTAGAATTTTAAATATTCTCACTTTTTAATCTCTTCATAGAATACAGAGTCATTAAGAAATGCTACGTGGCAGAGATGGGGAAAAGACAATTCAAGACAGTTACTAGATGCTTCAAGGGTAAGATTTAGCCAACATTTCTATATCTAGTAGAAAAAGTATGTAAGCCCATGAAACATTTCCCAATTTATGCTGCATATTTACTACATATTTTACATTTCCCCAATACTTTCCCTTTTCATGATTTTTATAAATACTGGCAGGAAGGTATGTTTCTACTAGGAATGCAGAAAGAAATCTTGGTATTTTTCTACCACTGCAGAAATCTGTCTGAATCCCTTGAGGTCAGTGCCAACTAGAGTAACATTTTCAGAAAGCTTTTTATAAATGTAATGGCAGCTTGTTGACACTCACATTTATCCTAATTTGTATATGATATGTGGAATGTTGCCATTTTTCAAGTGTGTAAAGTTCTTTTACCTTAGAAGATTTTCAGATAGCAGAATGCCAAGGGATTTTAAGATTGTTAGAGCCCCTGGGATAAGTGATGCTCAGTTTAAATACTGATGAGGGTTATTTTTCATTGTTAATTTATGTGAAAGATATCTTTCATAATTTCCACTGCTTCAAAATAAAATATGCTAATTTCCATGATAGAAAAAGAACAGAAAGTTAGGAGACCATCTACATCCTGGGAACTCTATTTTTCCCTGTTTAGCAATTATTTGCAATTTAGGCACAAAGCATTGTTCTAATTTATTCAGAGACTGTATAAATGAATTTATTTCCCACTATTAAATTGAATCTTTAAGTAGAAAATATGTTCAATCTTCTCATTGTCCAAGATACCACTAAATTTGTTTATATTGCAGTCTTCTGCTTTGTTGAAGACCTCATTATCTTGTGTGATATTCACCAGAACCCTTGCTAAAACTTGTTGCTTAGCCTTTTAAAGGAAAAATGTCAGAAAAAGATGCTGTCAGAATAAAAATCACCTTTTGATGTTTTCCTCTTACAAAATGCTGTTAAGAGTGTTGATCTAAAAATCGATAACACATTCATGATAATTACTTTTTGTATTTCACCAGTAAGAATAGGAACGCACTTTTGCTTTTTATAATTCTATTTTCATACCTTGGCTATTTGTGTTTGTAAAGAACTGTGCTCTTGTTCATTAATTATTGATTATTATGAATACTGCAAAACAACATTAAGTCTATTTACCTCATTTGGTATTTTAAATCATGAAGACTTTCAGTATTAGAAAATCTAAATGTTAAACCTAATTGTCATTATCTTGTTAACTCTTACATTTTCTCAAATGATTTTATTTAATTTTGTTAACTCTTACATTTTCCCAAATGATTTTATTTAATCTTGTTAACTCTTGCATTTTCCCAAATGGTTTTACTTTATATAATCTCTGACTGTAGTAATAACATTAAAGCCTTTGAGAAATTTATAGTAGGTTCGATATTATGTAAGGCTGCTTGGGAGAGTATATGTAGCTTTTATTTTCTAAATGAATCCAGAAAGCACTGAAGCCTGCCTTGCCTACATATGACACCATGGTATGTACCATAGCATATAAAAAGACCCACAAAGTCTTGTTCCTAATCTTAAGAAATTTACTGTGAAGTAGAAAAAACAAAAACATGTTTTATTAATTATAAAAATATGTATATAAGGAAAGCAAGTGAGATATAAATCTTTAACTATATTAGCCTTGCTTTCTTGATGCTTATAGCATTATAGTGAGTGGCAGTAAGGGAATCAGGATAAATTAAGTAAAACTATAATGTTATGTAAGTCACTTAAACTAATTTCAAAAGCTATTTTAATAAAGTAACTTGAGTATTTGTTATATTTAAGTATTCCTTGTATAAACTTAGCTATGTGTTAGTTCTGAAAGTGTTTTGCTTTACTATGCCAGAGTAGATGCAATGCCTTTGAATTTATTTTAGGAATAGTCATTAGATTAGATTAAGACATCTGAAATTCTGTAATAGCTAATAACAAGACTGCTTGGTATCATTTTTACCAAGGCTCTTCAGGTATGGCCACTGATAGAAAAGAGAACATGTTGGCATGGGCATGCAGGAGGAGGACTCCACACAGACCCAAAAGAAGGGGTAAGAATGAATACCAAGCCTTTCTATGTTAACTTTAAAAATTAATTTTAAAAGGAATGAATGACAAGTAACTGGAAATTCTTGATGATTATTGTACTTGAGTAGAAGATGTGTCCTTAAGATTATCATATTCTAATACTTTTTGACTGGCTCACCTAATGATGCTTTCTAGTGCAAAAAATCCCACATAAATTGGTGAATATTATATAGGTGAGATTTTCTTTAACTTTTACCAATAATTCATGGTTAACTAAATTTAAAGATTATTCATTAACATCAGTGTTCTATTGTGGTTGTTATTGTTGCTTTGGTTTGTTGAGACAGAGTCTTGCTGACTCCTGTTTCTCACTTCTACATCTGTCTCCCCAATCTATGTTCCAATGGCCATATCTATAGTTATGTTCTAGTATATCCAAACCCTGGTTGTGTCTCTTTAGCCAAGTCCATCTCTCTGTAACTTTTTCTTCTTGTAGAATCCATGACCAGGAGGAGAGAGTACCTACCTGGCAGTTAACTCTAACTCTGGTCTGGCAGTATATGACGTAGCTGGGCAATGGTTGGTGTATAAAAGCAATTTAAAAGAGAAGTGATGTTGAAGACGAAGGGGGTTTTAAAAACAAGGATTTTAAAAAGGACAAATATAAACAAAGACAACTAGAGGAGATAGGATATATAAAGAAAACCTATTTTGGCTTCAAACTTGCTGTTTCAATCTCTCAAGCACTGGTTTACAGGTATATGCCACATGCCTGTTCTAAATATTTTAGTTCTCTAAAGGAGCATTAACTGACATTGTTATATAACATAGCCTTATAAATAAGTAAATTAGGTTTAACAATTATAATTTGTGTGTTAAGGTCAATGTTTTGCCTAGATATACTTAGATCTTAGAATATCAGTTAGCTTCATGGTAAATCTTTTATCTACATGATCCAGCTATTAATTGATATTTTAACACTATCATTGTTATTATCATATAGGCATGTTAAACAGTAGAGCCACCAAAATAAAAAGGTTTATTTGGACTATACTTTCACTAAGTGAGTGAAAATGTCACCATAGTACTGGTACATATTTCTCCATCTGGTCTTTATCTTGGGGCTTGCTTTGACCTGTTCTCTCCCGCTCTTTTTTCTCCCTCCTCCCTGATTCTCTTTCTTCCTCTTTGTCTCTCCTCCTTTTTTCCCTTTTGTCTCTCTCATTTTCTCATATAGACATATGGTATCTCTAAGTAGCAATAAGTTAAAGTGCAAAATATTATGCAAAGGTGCTCTATAAATTATAGGTGCTAAGTAAAGAGTTATTTTATTGATAGTGGATAATTGGTAAGAAAACTTTGTTTTCTTGATGTCTAGTGTTGTTCTGTACTTTCAAGTAACTCAAAGCACATTGTATTCATATTTCCATTTCTGTATATATCACTAGTTCTCATGGCTGATTTTGGAATTAACACAATATAATATGTTAGAATTTTTAAAGATTCAGCCAAGTAGTGATATTTGTTTATCCATGTGTTACTCTTTGGCATGATATTTGCCAGTTTTCAGGATCATCTGTCATTAAGGACTCTTAAGGATAGTTGCTAATAATGCTCAACTATGACCGAAAATATGTTGACTAATAAAGGAGAAGTCAGCCACTTCTCTTAAACTGCAGCTAAAGAATTTTATATATGTTGTATTATTTAAATGTTGAACATATTTTCTCATCTAATGATAAAATTTTGATATTGGTGCATTTAAAAATGACACAGGATAAATTTTAAGACAATTTCTTTTCAGATGAAATAGAACAAAGCAATCATAATCATAATATTTTTTATTGTTCTTCATAGCTTTTTTTCTCTTGTTATCGTTGTCTAACTTGGTCTTTGTTGGCTAAATGGAATCATAAAATAATAGGGCTTAGTGGTCAAATGGAAAAGAAAAAGAGATATAGTATATAGTTATTGTTGAGAGCCTGAGCTCTAGAACAACACTGGATTTGAATCCAGGCTCCATCTGTTTCCTAATGGAATGACCTTAGACAAATTCCTAAAACTCTGGATGCTTCAGGTTCTTCTGTAAAATAGAGTTACTAAATATACTAGAAGGAATTTAAATGAGGTAATTCTACTCACCATGTTAAAGTTCTCAAATAGTGATCAGCATATAGGAGGTGCTCAGTAAATATTAGGTATTGTTACAGTATGAAATTGTAAGGCCTTCCTCAATGACAGTGCATTCATTTATAAAGAATGCGTCTGGTCCAATAAGATGGCTCAGCATATAAAGTTGCCTGCTGTCAAGGCTGACATCCCCTGTGTTGTTCTTTGGCCTTTGTGTGTGTGTGTGCGCGCACACACACTGTAATAAGAAACTTAATTTAAAAAAGCTATTGTTATGTACTTGCTTTGTGCCAAACTTTATGCTACATATGGGAGATATAGTACTTAACAAGACAAAGTCCCTGCTATCTAAAATTTAACTGTTGAGATGACAAAATATATAAAACATTAGATAGAATATTTGCTAGCATAACAAATGATAGATTTGAACTAACTGAAACATATACAGCTTGATTTTTTTTATTCCTTTCCTTGTGTATATTCTTTAAAAATAGTGCCATTAACAATTACCATTTCAGAGTATATTTAAATGGTCTATTTGTCTCATGAGGCTGTCATAAAGGGTTTGTGGAAAAGGCATGGTAGTTTCAATGTTTGAAAATTCTGCTTTTTAAAATAGATGAATTGTTTGTTTTATAATAGAATATGGAGATTTTTAAATGATTTAAGATTGTTAAAAATGATTTGTTGTTTCTGTGTGAATGCATGCAGGTATGCATATGCCATGGTACAAATGTGGAAGTCAGAGGACAGCCTCATGGAGTGTGTTCTTTTCATTTTTATTTGGGTGTGGGGGATTTATCACAGATTGCCAGGTGTATATGGCAAGCAAATTTACACGCTAAGCCATCTTGTCAGCCATGATTGGAATCTTTACTCCTACATTTAAATATTTAGTTATACCTTTCTGTAGGAGAATCTGTTCTGTATGGTCTGGAGAATGATCTACACTATGTTTTAATGAGTGAGTTCATTAAGTATACAGCAAGCCACAATAAAAGAATAGATGGCGATTGGAGAGCTGACTCAGAAGTTAATAGCACTGACTGCTCTTCTAGAAGACCCGGTTCAATTTCCACCACTCACATTGCAGCTCACAACTGTCTATAACTCCAGTTTCAGGGGACTTGACACCCATGGCAAAATACCAATGCACATAAAAATAAATAAATAAATAAATAAATAAATAGGACATCCAAAGAATAGATGGCAAGAGGGAAGTAAGTAGGTAGGTAGGTATATAGGTAGATAGATGATCAATAGATAAATGCATACACACACACACACACACACACACACACACACACACACACACACACACAGAGAGAGAGCAAAATACCATCAGATTAAGTGTTCAAAACATTTACCAGAAATCAACTGGGACAAGCAGCTGGAATTCCCAATAGAGAACATTGTGGGTAGAATAGAGTGCCCCCTCAGGTGAGGCTTCAGAGAAAATGAACAGATAGTAATAGATAGATATAACATCATCAAATCAAACATAGTAGCCAACAAAAACCAATTAGGGAAGTTGAGGCAGTCAGCTAGAGTTCCTGATTGAGCTTTCTCTCCATGATTGAGCTTCCCATGACTGAGCTTGTGGCGTCTCTTTCTCAACTGCAGGCATTTTTATATCATGGGATAAACAGCAGTAACCTCTATTGGAAATAGCTTACCTTCTAAATGTTTTCAAGGACACAGTGTTTTTTTTCCTTAGGCTGCTTTGCTGTTCTTTTCCTTCCCCATCACAGAGTTAGCAGGGCCATTCCTTGGAGGAATGCCTTGGAGGACACTTGACATAAACATACTTGGGTCTGAAGTGTGTGTGTGTGTGTGTGTGTGTGTGTGCACATGCGCGCGCCAATTCTTTCTAGAGACAGCTTCTCAGTGAGATAAAATAGCATATGACAGTTTACCAGTCTAATGCACGTCACACTGTTAGTGGATTTAGTTTGTCCTATTCACTTAATAAGGACAAAAATAATGCAAAACGCATTGAAATGACTACTTACTTTTGATTAAATATTCTGCTTCATAGTCTTTTTATATTAGAAATACTTCCTCATTGATTGGATACAGTCTAAAGCCTGTGATAGTAAGAGGGAGATTAGCACTTGCTATAGCAATCAGAGAACTTTGGTATACATCTTGATATAACCAAAGGATGTGAAAAGTCAACCTGGAGGAATGAAAATTGGAAAATTGGAAAAATAGTATCTAAGCTTGTTAAAATGAGTGGGACAACAAACCAATGGAAAAGAATATCTGGATGACACAGGGAGTGAGTTTTCTGGCTCTGATTTCATAAATCACCAGGCAGCCTAAGGATCACTTTATCAACTTGACTTATTTTGGGGATAAAGAACTAACTGACTGGCCAATGTGAACATCAGTCTGCTTGTTAGTTACTTTTTATTGTAAGTTATTAAATGGACTGTCAGGTACAAATCCATCTCATGTGTAGCATAATCCATTTCCTCAGGTCCTAATCACCACTGCATAAGCTCTTTATGGAAATTTCAGACTAACAGAACTTAGAAAACAAACCCCAAGGTAAAGAGAAAATAACAATAATTGCAAAGCCTTTTCTGACAGTTGATAGTTTCCTCTCCTATTCCAAACTCATTACAATTATAATAATGTAGGGACTTCTGCTTGCTCTCTGGAGCTTTCTGTTAGACATCTACTGAACTTGCTTCTCTTTGACCTAGCTTTTATCAAGTCACTGTTATCTCTTACAGCACTGAAGTATCTGTTTTAATTATTCCTTTAATTGAAGTTGCCTTTAGCTTGGGTTGAGAAGACAGTTTTCTTCCCTGAATGGTTTGTCTGTCCCTGAAATAGTGCTAAATTAGCTCTTTAGGGAGATGACATTCAGCATATATGCCAGATT